GGACATCCGCGCAGAGCCTCCAAAATCACCCTTTCCCGACACCTACCAAGCATTTTTCGCATAGCTGATTTTCGTCCGTACCCGTTTCCCGGAGCTTAGCCAGGTATAGGAGTCCATGACGCTACGGCACGGGTAAGACTACTATTTGGCTATTAACATCCAACGAAGAGCAACACCACAACCACAAACACCACCACCATTCTTCAATCCTGCAAAGAGCTTACAGCTATACTGCAAACATGAAGGAAGGTGTTGTTACGCCGCCAGACTCGGAGAAGGATCTCCAGAACGTCGAAGGCTCGCTCAATACGGAGGAGGAAAAGGCAGAAGAAGCCCATATCCAGTTGAGTAAAGGGCGATTCGTACTTGTGCTCGTCGGACTGGTCTTGGCTATCTTCCTCGTAAGCAAGCTCCACAATCGTGTAGAAGACAGACTTTGACTAATCATCCTCGCAGGCTTCCCTCGATTTTGTAAGTAACAAGCTCTTTCTAATCCAGCTCCAACGCGGTGACTAACTGAACGTGTAGACTATCATCTCAACCGCTATACCCAAGATCACCGATGAGTTCCACAGTCTTCAAGACATCGGTTGGTATGGTTCGGCCTTCTTCATCACCACCGCGGCGACTACCGCGCACTGGGGACGCCTGTACACCTTCTTTCCTTTGAAGTGGACATATCTCACTTCCATCTTCTTCTTCGAGCTGGGCAGTGTGATCTGCGGTGCTGCACCCAGCTCAACAGCTCTGATCATCGGTCGCGCGATATGCGGTATTGGCGCCGCCGGTCTCTTCTCCGGCTCGTACACCATTATCGCTGTTCTGGTACCTTCAGCAGACAGACCAAAATACAGTGGACTGATGGGTGCATCGTACGGTCTTGCGAGTGTTGTCGGGCCTTTGATTGGTGGTGCATTCACTAGCCACGTATCCTGGCGCTGGTGGTACGTTGAAGCCCTGAACGTGTCCCTAATTCCACTAACACCCTCACAGCTTCTACATCAACCTTCCCGTAGGTGGTGTATCATGCCTGTTCATCCTCCTCTTCTTCGCGAATGAACCACCCAAATCTCGTCCTGACTGGCGTGGCATGCTTCGCCAGCTCGATATGCTTGGTCTTGTCCTCATCGTCGGCGCTATCACGTGCTTCATTCTTGCTCTACAATGGGGTGGTGTTTCGAAGGCTTGGGACAGCGGTGCCGTCATTGGCACTCTCGTCGCATTCGTCGTATGCATGATCTTGTTCGTGATTGAACAGTGGTGGCTTGGCGAGAACGCTATGGTTCATAGTGTCATGATCAAGAGAAGGACGATCTGGGTCGGATCGATGTTTTCGTTCTTGATCAACTCCGCCTTCTTGGTCACATTCTATTACTTGCCGATTTACTTCCAGTCTGTACAAGGCGTCTCAGCTTCGACGAGTGGTGTCCGTACAGTACCGTTCATTCTAGCTGTCACGTTCTGCGTCGTAATCGTCGGCCAGATCATCACGAAGACCGGGTACGCGTATCCATGGATGATAGTGGGAGCCGCCATCACCACCATCGGTTCCGGTTTGATCTACACTTTCGATACCAATTCGCCTGCCGGAAAGTGGATCGGCTACCAGATTCTTTGTGGTATCGGTGTCGGAGTCAGCTTTCAAGTCCCGGTCATGCTGATCCAGGCTACGACGAAGGATGCTGATGTGCCATTAGCAACAGCCACACTGCTATGTAAGCTCCCAATGACATCATGTCTACACTCACATTGCTAACAAACAATGTAGTCATCCAGACCCTTGGCGGTGCTTTCGGTGTCTCATCTGCCCAAGCTGCGTTCCAGAACACGCTTCTTAAGCAGCTGCCCATCACGGCACCTGGGCTTAACCCGCAAATCGTCCTGGATGCTGGTGCTTCAGAACTCAAGAGAGTCATTCCTGAACAATTCTTGCAGGGAGTTCTCGAGGCCTACGTGTCTGGGTTCCGGGAATGTTTGATTGTCGGTATCGCATTCGGCGGTGCTGCATTCCTTGCCGCGTTCGGGTTTAGATTCACGAACATCAAGAGGACGGCCGCGGCGGAGGCGTAAACGTGGGAGATCTATGCAGTAGAGTCGGGTAAAGAATTGTTTCTCATAAGACGTTGGATAGGGTATTAGCAACATCATCCTAGATTGTGATATTAGCATATTAGCGAGCGTATAGGGCTCTATACAGGTCCACCAAAAGCATTCCATTGGCCAAGTGCACCCCAGTCAACCGCAGCATCAGTCAAGTTTCCACTTCCGCTCGTACCAAGTCCCATTCCCAGGCCTGGGAACTCCATACCCTCGAAGCCATCCAGCCCAGGGCCAGAGAAGAAATCAAGGTCCAAGTCCAAAGTCTGCTGATCACTCGCTGGCGTGATCTCTTCCACGAACTTGGAATCCAACACTGTATCTATGACCTTTGTAAAAATCTTGCTCGCTTTGCGACAAAGGTTGTAATTTGCCTCGCCATGTCTCGCTCCGGAATTCTCCATATGTGCGGCAGCGTCAAGATGTGAGATAAGTACACTCAGCATACGAATGATTTCTGCGCGAGAAATATCGGCGGGAAACTGCTGGCCTGTTCGATGCTGCTCGCGTAACGCATTAGCTAGGACGGAAGCCGCAGGTACGCCAAACAGCAACAAGGCATTCAGCATGTCACGGTGAACGTCGTATGATCTGTCACGTATCGTACCAAGGGTTAGTGTGTTGGAGAGGAGATCAACCGAAACGCGCAGCAGAGCCGCGTTGAGCGTCAAAGGGCTGTAGTCGAGGAGTTTCTGGATCATGAACTCGTTGTACCAGTGTGTCAGGTGAACAATGCACAACATTAGACAGACTACTGAGGGTATGTCTTCTTCCCAGCACGTCTTCCAGTAGCGCATATGCTTTGGGAGCATTTCCCAGGAAGCACGTATACGCTCGGATATGTCTCTACAGACATATTAGTAACAGCTAAGATGTAGTCGCTACGGGAAACATACAATAGTTGGGCTTCAGCGTTCGCGTCGATTTTGACGAGCGAGAACTCCAGAATTTCTTCACGAAACCGTAGGGATATGTGACGCAGGCGCTGTGGTTCGTTAGTGCCAGGATTGAACGATGCCATTGGAAGACCTACGATCCAGGATGCCCTTAACCACCTTCCTTTGGTATTCCAGCCATCCGTATCTAACGCTGCTATAGCCGAACTTAGCCTCGACTGATCACCGGTCACTTCGCTATCGGCTAGGTCGAGGGGAAGTTTCATGTCAGTATGCCTCTTGCTTATACGAATCGGTCGACCGAGGAAAGTAGATATTGATTTGTCCTGGTTGTAGGACGCACAGAAGACTCTGCGACGTGTTTCCGCCAGCCATCCTGGTGCATGATCGCATTTCTTTTCCTGGTGAACACCCAATGCATATATCTGCGTTGATAGTTCGCCAATACGTCGCCATCCAGGTGGACCTGAGTAATGTTAGACCCGTCTCCCCGAATGGTGATTTGTGATCATACGTACCAGCATACCCACACATCATGATGGTGAATAAATAATTTTCATAGTACATCCATACTGTCAAATCATTGACTGTCGCAAGCATCGTCGTAAGAAAAAGACAGGTTGTACTGGCGCGCAGCAGCTCATCGGCGAAGCGCGACTTCATGTCTTTGTTGTCAGGATCGTTGAAGATATCAGGAACGAAGCCGAATGTAAGCGACCTCCCAGCTGTCGCTAATAGAAAGCCAATCAATTCAAATCGCAGATTTTCGCCTGAACATAATGTGTGGAAGTCTCCAGCTTCGAGCGACTGTGATATCGTAAAAGGGCGCGCTGTTGTCTCGAGCACTTGACTTATAAGCTGAGAGTTGGGCGCTTTGCGTCGCAAGTCGTGCTTGTCAACAACGGCTTCCAAAGCGTTCACGGCGTCGACTTGGAGCTGAGCGGGTATCACACCTGCTTCGTTGCTTGCATTGTACCAGAGAACAAGCTCCTTGATCGAGTTGTAATGTCGAAAGGTGCTTAACACGTCACATGCCATCTGGTATCGCATAGATTTCGATAGGGTGTGCTGATGTGTGAGTTCGCGGTCTGATCTCTCTGACGCGACGGACTCTTCACGTTCCCGTAGTTGGCCAGGTTCCTCATCCTGGGGAAGAAGAACGGCGTACGATCCAGGGCCAAGAAATCCAGGATGATAAACGTCAGCAGCAACAGCATCTGCAAGTTTGTCACCTTGGGCAGGAGACGGTGACGCAAAGGCGACAACAGAATTTGAAGCTTGCTTCGGGGGTCGCCTACGCAAGTCAAAATCGTTAGCTACAATGGTGTTTTGAGCTCTTCATACTTTCTCTTAGGAGGACGAGATTCGCCTGTGCCTGACTCATCGGTAGTTTGACGCGGCCTGGTGAGAGGCGCTGGATGGTAGAAGCAACGGTCTTCGATTCCACGTTGACGACATCGATCACATTTAGGGTGACCATGATCACATTTTGTTTTGTTCAGCCTGCATGGTTCGCAGGATGCTGGCTTCCCATTGCGCCTGCTGCTGCCGGCGTCCCTGTTGGTTCATTAGCGAATCAATGAATGCAGACTAGGCAGTCACCCTACATATTGACGTTCGCGCCGACGGGTACATGAAATAGTTGACGATTCACCTATTCGTGACATACTATATTGCGCAGTCGTCAGTGAGTCCGTCACGTTGAGTGGCTGGGCACAAGCAGGGAAAAGGTGTGACGCGGGCTGCCTGAAGTGAGTTATCGATAAGCTGCGCGTCTAGTTCGCGCCCTGTCACAGCCACCACACATGCACACCGGCACATCTGCAGGCGTGCGTCGTAGTATCAGCCCGAACTCAGCCTCAGCCGTCTGGTCTGGCGATATTCGAAATGGCAGCCTCTCAGAAGGTCGTCCGGCCGATGGACGGCGATCTCACTGTTTTGAACTTCGCCCTAGACGAAACGTATTCAGTCGACGACGAAAACAAGTCACATCGAGGCCGTTGAGGCATGTCAGCTCCTGCTTCACTTACCATGAACCAAGCGTCTTCTACCTCAGCAAGTCTTCGAACCGACCTCGCACGCACATTGGGCTTTCCCCACCATCCGCACGATGCCACCGCCGAACCGTACCTCCGTTACCTCACGAATCGATGCATTGGCGGTTATACAATGGAGACGTATATCGAGCTTCTCATCATGGTGGTCAAATACTTCGATGGGGCCCCAGCTGATACGTCAGAGAAGAAGAGTATTCAGGGGTTGCTAGATGTCATATCTTCATCCCCCACTTACGCACAGCGGAACCGCGAAGACGTCGAGGATACCGTGCTATACATTATCGGCACCTTGACACTACTTCTGAGCTCGTTCATCCATCTGCCAATGGCTGGTGGTCTTCGCAAGGTGACAGCTAGCTACAACCTGCGGACTCATGGCAGCGCCTGTGGAACCCAATGCTACGGAGAAGACGTGAGTGGATTGGTGGTGGGCAGTGGCCTACTGCCAGTTCCCATTCACTATCTACCTCCCGACCACACAATACGCAAATACGGATCGTTCCAGACTGCTGCAACGCCATCGGTCTTCCCACGACCCTCTTCGGCATCATCTGCGACCAGACAGGTCGACATTGGTGCGTCTACCTCTATCTACACCGATGACGACCTACAAAGACGCGTGTCGCTAGGCTTTCTGCACGACTTGGATTCTCTGGAGTCGCTCACGATTAACGCGACGCGGCTTAACGCCTACACATTAAACGTTTTTGGAGCAGTAGACATTGCGTGGACACACAATATCTCCAGACATCTATCACTATCGAAACGTGATGGACGGTATACCCTCGAGATCTTCAGCCTGCCGTGTGCGCTGAATGCTACCTCTGTGAGGCAGAGCGGCGTCTCCACTGAGCTTGCTCAAGAGATAAGGGAGACATACAGCTTGCTGTTCAACGCCTTCCACAAGATTCCTCGTCACGTAAAGCTCGCGCGAAAAGTAGGTATCGGATCTTTTTGCTGGTGCCGTTTTTGCTCGATGCGACGACACCAGAATCGTGCTATCATGAGCTACAAGACATTCAGTAAGCACCGGACGCTGGGCGCAACCAGAGCTCAACGAACACACGACACCGAGTATGACCCTCTGCTAGTCGAATTGATGAGCAGTGAGCCCTCTGACTGGACACCGGATATGTTCCCTCATCTCTGGGCTCGTATCGTTATATTGGAAGAGCATCTCGAAGAAGCCAAACCTTGGAGCGTGTGGGTGTTATTCCGTGATCGCAGAGATACTCTACAATTCTGGACGTTTTTGTGAGTTGCCAAAGGCTACTTCGTTTCATTAGACTGACGAGTTGCAGCTTTGCTACCATTGTCGTATTTCTGACAGTGTTGCAAGTTTTGCTTAGTGTTGTACAAGTCGTGGGGTCTTTCTAGCAGTGAACGACATCGGAGGCATTCAGCTCGTATCACGGCCGGCTAACCTGTATTCGTATGTTATGCGATAACAGGCGGCGCACGCTCGCTTATGTGATACCGTGAGTGGTTGCGATGGTGAACACCATGGACGTGCAGCTTGGCTTTTTTCAGCCTTGTTCCGCCTCGTTCATAATGGGTCACAGGCGGCTGCCGGTATGATCTCTCTATCTATCTATGGTCTTCTCGCCCGGTGTCTCTCAAGAAGAAGGACTTATGCCGCATGTCGCATTTCATGATTATAGGTAGACAATATGCAGCTTTCACCTGGCGCTACAAGCTATCGTCAAAACATACTAGACTATGCCAAGCGTTCATACACACGTACACTTTTCTTCGGGTACCATTACAGGTTTCTTAGGGAGTTGTTTCGAGCGGACGAAACTCATCTAACCAAGCAGTACCCCGATCTCGAAGCATACTATCTCGCACATATATCCGTCTATGGACCTTCTACTGATGGATCCAAAGGATGTCGACGACACAGCTTCAAGTACTCTCAGTTGGTGGACATGGTGGCCTTTCCACCTGCTAACAAAGGCCAAGGGCAAGTCCTTTTTCTCAACGGGCACCTTCCGGGATCCTGGGTGTGTGAATTGGGTGCGAAGTACAACATCGCGCCTGAATTCTTTCGCCAGCACATTCATCTTTGGCGTTCCACCGACGGCCCCGTTCTTCATGCCATAACGAGGACCCCGCTGTCTACTTCCAACAAAGGGCTCTTGCTACGTCTCAACACTCAAGGCTATTCCACAAAGAAAAGCCTCCTGTTAAATCCCTTCAGTAGCTTCATCTTACAAGCGCGACGAAGGCTTCTTCCTGATGACGCGGAGTGGATGCCGAGACGTTTGCCTGCAGCCCCTGGTGGTTCGTATATCCGAAGACATGCGTATCTCAGCAACCTCCAATTCGTTATCGAACAAGACATATCCATAACTGTCGAGCGCAACGGGGATGGTTGGACTGGTAAGTGGGCCCTCCCTCCCTGAACCACGTTCCTGAAACGCTTACATGTGCATCAGCAATCTTATGGACAGATGTGGGAAGCAGAGACCTGTCTGAAAGTCGCGAATACCATCGATTCATAGATGATATGACAGCGAATACGGCTACAGGACACCGAGATATCCGCCTCTTGCCTGTTCACATACTGGGAATGGAGTCGGCCGTTCGACATCCTTGGCCGCTGCCTTTGTTCGAACCTGAGAATCCGCAAACCATGGATGGTTCTCTCGTTCAAACGGCCTCTCATTTGCCATCGGAGCTGCATGTGATGCTTGATGATCACGTCATTGCTGGCCAAGATCCACTATATGCCCTCGCGCCTGTACTCCTATTCGCGGCTGCCTCGGAAAACCAACTACTATCGGCTCTTCAGAGATGGTATGACATCATCGCATCGACCACTTGGGATCGGAAGTACTCAACTGAGCATCTGGAGCAGCTCATATTGCACAAACACCTTTTAGATGACCACGCAAATCGACACGAAGATGTCTTGCGCTTTATCAAATCACCCGTACTAGCTCGATGGGCGAGTGCTCTTACACAAGACCAGCATGCTGTAGCTCAGGAATCCAAGGATGCTGTCAAAGCCGACTTCGAGTTTCTTTTATCACGATATCGCCAACTTTCGTTACACTACCAGGACGCGATAACGATATTGGTTAGCGCTACTTCGCTCGCAGAGTCTCAGAAACAAATTACTCTTGCTACGCAAGTCACGAAACTGACTATCTTGGCGACCATCTTCCTCCCACTGTCGTATTGTACTTCGATATTCGGTATGAACTTTGTTGAGCTAGATCAATTGAGCATATGGATCTGGGTAGTTGTTACTGTGTCTGTCGGGCTCTCAACTCTTATTGTGTATCAATGGAATGAGCGGCAAGGACTGGGGGTGTTTTGGACTATGGTAATGACTAGAGTTTGGAAGATGCGCTTGAGACGTAGTACCTCAACGACAGTGTAGGCATGAAGTATTTGAATGGAAAATAAGGATTGCTATCAAACGATGTCATACTGCTTCAGCTCTGAAGGAACCTCGAACGCTCCGTAGAACGCGACCCGCCCGAGTTGCAATCTTCGTTCGAGCGCAGGACCCTCCATCTCGAAATTTTGTACATGGCCGCTACGCTGTACGAAGCTCTGGAAACCTACAATGCCTGGACCCTCGGTACCGTCCTCTCTGGCCCCTTCTGCATACAGTGCGGTACCACTGTGACCGTTTGGTGGATCGAAGTCGGGATATACACGATACAAGAGAGCGCGCGACACGAGGTCGTTCCATGTTGACGCATCGTGGTCTTTAAGACTTTTTGAGCTACCTGCTGCGGCCTTCTGGTTAAGGAAGATGCCTTCGCCTACAACGAGAACATCGGACGGGCGACTGCACTTTATGCTTTTTCCTAACCGGGAGCTTTCAGCATCAGCCAGAATTTTGACCGTTGATGTTTGTTGGCGAAGAGAATTCCATGACTTTTGATGCAGCCATCCGAGATTTGCTACGGGAGACACAATGTCCTGCACCACAGCAGGGGGTGACGGTTTTATGAGCGTGATGTCATGTTTGAAACCGGCCGGATAGAGCTTCGCCTCTTTGTCAAAAGTTTTGTCGATGGTGCCGATCTAGCGGGTTTGTCAGCATAACAGAATTTGAGGTTGGCAGCATCTAGTATCAACGTAAGGCGGTGAGTGATATATGCCATGCACTGACCTTTTTTTCACCTGCCCAGATGTTGACATGTTCATTCCAATCATCCTCCAGCTTTTTGAAGCGATCATCAAGACCACGGCTGAATATGGTGTCCCTATGAGACTTTGCAAGTATGGCCTCAGTGATAACGTGCGTAGACATAACTATCAATGGTTCCAAACCAGCTCGTGTCACTCTGAGACCAACACGTCCAGAAAATCTCTCCCTTCTATGATTGGATACCGCGCGAGCTTCTATCAAGTCGTTAAGTTTGAGTGATGGGAATTTGATGACGGATTGGGTCGACAGGCTGGCAGGCCGGAAGATACCCGATACATCATGCGACCCGACTGGCGACCCAGACGTCGTGACCCTACTTGTATCAGTTGCACTCGGCAACATGGTAGGTTCAAGGTTTTGTTCGATGTAGCAGACCTTGAGGCCGCCATATTTGTGTGGCAGGTGTGATGACGCCCAGCTAGTATCATAGTATTCTGGCACAATGACTTGGAGAAGGCCATTTATCAAAACATAGAATCCGATGCTGTCTTTGAAAGTCAGGAAAAGATCTTTCACTAGCTCCAAAGGTAGCGTGGCCCAGCAGTCGATTGGCGTTGTAGCTCGCGGATCAGGGGGTGGCGTAAGTCCACTCTCTGGAGGCCATCTGTACTCCACTGGAATTATAACGGGTGCTCCAGCAATAGTAAGTGGATAACACTTCTGCTCAAGAAGGTCAAGAGGTGTACACGTCCAAGATCCATGCTGCCCACTGTGGTTCGCCTTTGTGGTATGGTATTCAACGTCCCATTGCCAGTCGGCTGGAAGGGAGGCTTGGATGGTTTTCCAGTCATGCAAAAGGCGGTGGTACTGCAAGTTCTGCAGAGGCATGAGGTGAGGCGTGTGGTAAGTACTGGGTGAAATGCCTAATTCTTCATCTGAGACAGCGGATGCGTTCGCACTGTCAGCTCCTCCTTCGTCTTCTAGAGCTGGACTAGTCGTATTACCGGAGTTGATACGTGAACTATCATTGGTATCACCGAAATTCATACCGGATATGTTCACATTAGGCGTAGTGCCACTACCGTGTCTACTTCTTACATCACTTAACCCTTCTGATGTTTTCGCGTCAATGCCGTCATACAACCCAGGGTCAGACCGAGATTGATAACTGTACAACGGACGGGAATACTGATGGGGGTGGGAATCGGGGTCGGGGTCGGGGTCGGGGTCGAGAGAGGATAGGTAGGGGTAGTGCTCGAGATTGGGTGTTAACTCTGCATTAAGAGGGAGATCGTCAAGGTCAAAGCTGTCGACTTTTTCTGAGTCGTCTTGATCTTTGTCCTCCACATCGGTAATCCACTGTGCCTGGGGTGACAAATTTGGCTGCCGGGATGGGTAGCGGTATTGATTCGTGTAGGGTCTGTAGGCAACAGACGGTTCGGGATCGTTTAGTTCGATAGGCATAAAAGCTGGGTCGAAAAGCATTGGATCTGGGTCGCCAGGCATTAAATGTGGGGGGAAGCGATATCGCAAATGCGGACTGAACAACTCCGGATAGCTGGTTATAGTGATCAAGGGTGCCGGGTAGCTAGAAGCTGGCTCGACGGCATGCTGATAGCTAGAAGTTGGCTCGGCGAGATGCTGATAGCTAGAAGCTGACCCGACATCTTGCTGGTAGCTAATACTCGGATGGGGTGATTGCTCGTAGCGAAAAGTGTCATCAAGCTCTGAGAGTGAGTAGCTAGGCCACGAGTAGTAGAGGGGGGAGAAACACGGCTCCTCAGGAGACCGAGTATGATAAGGCTGCCCCGGAACGGGCTGCAAGCCAGTCGATGCCACTTGATGAGTTCCGGCTTGAGGCTCCAACGGCTCAGGATTACCCATAGAGAGGTCGACGTTCTCATTCAAAACTGTAGCTGGTATCCCGGAAGATACTTGGGAATGCTCAGTCCTCCTACCAGATCCATTTCTCCTCCTCTTCATCATCCTCTGCTGTCTTCGCTGCCCAGTCTGTTGTTCGTAGTCAGTCCATCTGTAATGCACGTAAATACTCAAATGGCAAAAGCTGTCGAAGCAGATCAGGCTGACAGGCAAATGCGAGCCACTGGAAGAATGGAATACGACCCCGGGATGTGACGTTGAGGACGTAAAGATTGGATGCTTACAGACGACCATGACATAGCAAAGACCGAGGCAATATTGGCACTGGAGCACAGGTAGGAGGAATTGAAACGTATGACACTCAGCTGAACTGAGCAGGCTGAAGTTTACCTGCAGAGTCCTGCGCCACCACGTCCGTGCGCATCTGCAGTGCGGAAGTCATCCAATCAAACAGAGGATCTCAATCAGGGCGCGTGAGTCTTCAGGAAACCATGAATTCCCATTGCAGCTGCATCACCTTCCATGATAGGTTGAATTGTCTGCAGCTAAACGCTTTCCTATCACATCGTCCATATGAGCAGACCCACGAGTCACATACTGTGTATGTCCGCCAAGATCATTGGATCACAGAATCATTGGGTGAATATTTCCCAAGGCGACGAAGCATTGGCCGTCAGGTTGTGCTGTTCCGATAGCCCAGTCGATAGGTCTACACTTCGTGACGAAGATGCTCATTCAAGGGTGCTGAAGTCCCACACTGGCTTACCAAAAGCACGTCTGTCTCTACTGTTTGACTCTTCCGGTATACCATCTTGAGTAAATATAGTCAGCATCGCTCGATCGTCAGCTATAACGATGGGAAGATATGCGACGAAGCTGTGCCACAGTCTGAAGTGCTCGAACGGGTTGATCTTATGGCTCATGCGAAAGGACAGCGATACTGCAGCAGCCGTGAGGAAGGATCTTGTAAGCGGTAGAGTGCCGTCAAGGCTAGCTGCGAAGGTGTGAGTATTGCGCGTCCAAAGATCCGCCAGTCTTTTCTTCCCCTTCACTGAGTCAATGGTGCTATTGGCAAAGTTGAGTTGATCGTACGATTCAGCATGCATAATCACATCCAAGCTGAAGCCAGAAAGCAATAACACATTGGTATCCGTATTAATGCTCCACGTCGACTTCGTGTCGCCTGTAGATTTCCACGGCATAGGCTTACCAGATCGGAATGGATCGGGGAAGAGCATCGGTTGTTCCAGCGCGGAATTCAAGAGGGCTCTTCTTCCCCTGTAATATAGAGCAGTACGTCAGCCTTCTCGAAATTCACGAGCGCTGTCTCAACCGAATCACGGTATACTTCAAGCGTCAACTTGCTGTAATCTGGATCAAGCATATGGCTATTCATGGGCAGCTTCATCGAGCTTCGCAGCCCATAGATAGTGTCTCTGGCATCCAGGCAGCCATATTTAGATGCGAGGTAAAGTATGTTGAGCCATCGCGTCAGTTGCGCCATCAATTCGAACATGATCGCGACTCACCAGCAGTTCGCAGTAGAAACCCCGTACGCATCCGAGAATGCAGGCTTCATTGTGGTACACCTGGCAACCACATCGACCTTTTTCCATATTGTCTTCGCATGTTCGATGTCGACATCCCGATGGATGTTGGCGCTGATCTCTTAGATCAAGATGCCGAATTTATCGTGGGACAAGTCGCAGACGGTTCGGATCGCGTTGACCGCCGTTGCGGCATCGTGGTTTTCGGTGTCAGCTCCAAGCCAGACTTGGATGTTCTGCGCATTCTCAAGACTTCTTTCTGCATGCTTTACTTGCATTCGGCGCTCCGGTGTGTCCCTTCGGTCGATGCTACGCATCGTCTGCTCACGGCGCGTCCAATAGAGGTGTTCTCTATGAGTCCACCTACCACGACGCGTCAACCCAGAATCGCGACCAGTACTGATGCTAGAAGTGCGAGAAGGCCGTTTGCAGATTCCGGGTGATTTTGACAATCTGTCCATCGCAGAACATGGGCTCTTTCGCTGAGCGGCCGACCTACACGTAAGAGATATAAGTTCTGTGACCTTGGGAGACTTGTCGCGAGGCAGAATGTCGTAAGTGCAGCTATTGCCCAAGTCGGACCGAGTAGCGCCTGTAAAATGAGCCGTTGCGGCTGAAGTGGAGAATGACATCGTGTGGGGCAGTGGACGACGGCTTATGTACTTTAGGTTACGCGCATCTCCATAGGCCGTCCCCCGCAGAATTTACTCCACGCCCAGCTTTCAAGATTCCTAGTTCGATGAAGTGCAGCCGTTCATGCCCGAAATCTCGTGCTGTGCCGTAATGCTGCAGATGACTACCTAGACATGGCGACAAGGCGATAGCTGTCTATGCACACGCGCTGTGCGCACGAAGCAACGATTCGGCTATCGCGAACGCCATCCGGAAGTGTTAGCAAGACACCAGGTCATAGCTGTCCGTCATTCGGAATATGGCGCTTTCAGCCTCTTCAGCAGCCCTTCACGAGACAGCATACCGGCTGAGATGGTGGAACCCACCCTTCCGTGGAACCGCTTTTGTCACGTCCTTGTTTCCATGTCCCAGACGCGCTTTCGCCTCTTGCAAAGTCGTTCAGGATGAACACCAAGATAACAACGAGCTGTTCGAATATACCTCCGGTCGATGGATGTACATGAATCAAACTGCAGACTATGCATCGATAGGCCGACTAACATGATCACCCAGTCCCAACGAGTCTCTCCGCACGGCCGAACGGCGCATGCCTTTTAACGTGTCTGAACTCAAGAAGGTCGCTGCGAAAGCACTCAACAAACCTGTCGAAGACGTCGATATGTTAAGAAAGGTCGCTGAAGGTGGCTTCAATCGTATCCTGGAGGTGACAATGAATGATGGCGCATCGATACTCGCACGTCTTCCCTACCCGTTAACCGTACCACGACGATTAGCAGTAGCAAGTGAAGTCGCGACACCAGACTTTCTTCGTGCGAACAGAATACCTGTACCTCAGGTTTCAGCTTACTCGACTGGTAAGAACGCTGTATCCGCAGAGTACATGTTAATGGAGAAGATGCCAGGAAAGCCGCTTAGTAGTGTATGGGTTCACTTGACCGATGATGAGAGATTCAAGATCTTGCATCAAATAGTCACCATGGAAGCAAAGCTGTTCGCTATGGAGTTGCCAGCCAGTGGCAGCATATACTACTCTTATGACTTACCTCCGACAATGCCTCGCATCGATATACCTGGATTTGACAACGGCTTGTGCATTGGTCCATATGCACACTCAGTGTGGTGGTACGGCGAACGCATAGATCTGGACATCGACCGTGGTCCTCATACTAATCCTCGGCTCGTCCTTCGGAGTTTCGCGAACAAGGAGCTAACCTGGATTCATGCTCACGGTCGACCGCGCTACCCGTTTGATCGTGAATACATGGACTCGTTCGATCACAAGAAGCAAGATCCTCAAGAACATGCTAGTTCGCTAAGAGACTATTTGAGTCTTATACCTTACCTTGTACCCGCAGACTCAACAGCGCACACTCCGACACTTCGACATCCCGACCTCAGCCCCAACAATATCTTGATAACCGACGATCTCATTATAGCTGGCTTCATCGACTGGCAACACGCCATGGTCCTCCCTGCTTGGCTGACCGCCGGCATACCACCAGCCTTTGAAAACTACGCGGACGAGGGCTCACGTGGTCTTCAAATCCCCAAACTCCCGGATGACCTTCGGTCTATGGACAAAACCTTACGCGCCAAGGCAGAGGAGTAATACCGACGTTGACACATACATTTCTGGTACCTTGCGTTAACTCGGCAATTGAACGAGCAGCATTGGCAGGCTTACATAGGGCACGACGGAGCTTTCATAACGCGTAACATGTTCCTCCAGGCTAGTATGATTTGGCAAGGAAATAATGCGCATCTCCAGATCGACCTTTCACAGGTTGTTCGCAATTGGTCAGTCTTTGCAGCATCCACCGCCGACGGCAGTATACCGACATGCCCAGTTGTCATCGAAGAACAGGAGATGCAGAGAAGGGAAAACCTCAGAATTTCGCTCAAGGAGGGTGATGTGTTTAGGAAAAACATGTCGGAGATGATGGGCGTTTTACCTGACGGATCTATATCGCACGAAAACTTCTATGTGGCGAAAGAAAGGGAGAGTATGATCAGGGAAGGTGTTGGAACTAAACTCAAAGATGATCTATTGGAAGCGGAGAGAGTGCTCCTGGCTTGGCCTTTTCATGACTTTGACGAAGATGAGTAGAGTGATTCTGCACACATGTCACTTGTATTGTATGCGTGTCCTTGTATGACACAAGACACCGCGTTATGTAGAGAAGATAGACAGTTCCACTCATCATGCGCCGATGCTGTAGAGCCCATGCCGTTCGCAATGTAATCCCAGTATAGAGGTAACTCTAACGCCCTCAACGCCTCCATGTCTGATGCTCATTTCACTGTATGTACAAACGCCGCAAATGCTAAAAATTGGATCGAAGAGGCTGTCGTCTCTAATCCTCATCGACGTGCCTCTCGGCATTCTGAGCATCTAAGATACCGTCTCTGCACTTCTTGCAGACAAGCAAGGCACAAGAATAGCATTCGTACGCAAGGCTAAACTTGGCTGGCGATTCAGAAAAGATAGTCGATGGTGTCCTGTGGAACTCACGAAGCGTTGAGCCCTGATCATCCCGCATTGGGACGATCTTGCTGGAAAACGTCTCGTCAGATGCTCGGTGCCGGAGTCCCATCTCTGAGGTGGCGATGGTGTTACCATAGGTATCTACTGTTCGTTCAGAAGAATACTGAACGTCCTCCATCGGGAAAGGCTCGCGTGCTGGCACGCTTTGAGACAGCGGAGAGGACAAGGTGTGGCGGAGATGAGGTGCTGTTCCGACGGCGCCATGGGCTTCAAAGAGTCCACGTGGGGGTACATATGCTCCCCGTCCCCATCCTCGTCCTCGTCCTCGTCCTGCGGCCATGCCCTGTGTAATTCCTCTATTCGCTCCCGTCGCGCCCGCGGGTACAGTCCTCACGTTCGTGTTTGTGTTTGACGCCGCATTAGGTGGTTTGATCTCTGGATGTATCGCACACCAGCATTTCACACATTCCATCTCGGTCGAAGGGTCATTGTTCAGCGCTTTGGCAAGGGTGATTTTGCATGAATCAAATCCGTGTTCGCAGTCCCATGAGCGGTCTTGGTAGTCTTCTGTTGGTTCCTCGCCGAAGTTCAGATCCTGTCTCTGCCAGTAGCGGTGTCCTCCGCCGTCAAGGTTACGTGGTTGAGAGGCTGGTTGCGGGAGTGCAGTTGCTGCTTCTCCAGTAGTGCCTTGAAGCTGAGTCGCTTCATTAGAAGCGTCAGGTGCATCATTCGTGTCAGGCAGGAGTCTGGTATCGTCGTGTTGTTCGGGCGACACATCTTCGTCTTCATCTTCATCTTCATCGAACGACTCGTCATCGTAATCATCTTCCTCGCCGCAGCCTCCGTTGCAATTGCTGTAATCTTCCATACAGGCGTAGCAGAAATGGGCACCACATCGACACTCCATATCTAGGTACAGGCGCAGGAAGTTAGTGTATGTCGCATACGATCTTTGTGCAGGTGAATTACTTACGGTTGCACCCGAACATCCGCTTCAATCCATGTCCACACTTTGGACACTTCTTATAGCCCCAGCTCTTCAGTAGTTCTGTCGTCTCTGCATCGATGCCGAACTCAGAGATGTTGCATAGACTGTCCGGATGAGCGACTTGACGGCAATCAGGGCAGATACCCGTTTCGCAGGCTGGACATGCGACAGATTTTGAGGTTGGTGTTCCGATGCCAGAGTCTGCGCGCTTTCCTTTCCTCTTTGTTACTTCCTCTGGGAGAAGTCGTTCTGGGATGAATGCCGAACATGTTGGCATCGGACAGTAAAACGGATTTGGTGTGAGCCACTCCTCGTACTTTGATCTGAAGTCCGCAAACTCCTCCCTTGTCAAATGCGGCTTTGCGTGATGAGGTTGGATCTGTACGCAACACCTCGGAGGCATGCGAGTGGTGTCTTTGCAACATTCCGTGAACATCCTCTTTATGCATGATCCGCAGTATGCGCTTCCACATTCTCTGCATGGCTTGATAACCTCTTTTGCATGCTTCGGATCTTTGGAACTCGGCAGCTGGGTGCAGCATACGATACACTGAACTCCCGTTTCTTGGACAGGAGCTGGCGGGGCTGGTGCTGGAGAGGGCGGGACCGTGGCGACTGCGGGCGGTGGATCAATATCGGTGCTGGCGTACTCGATGGACATCAAGTCACGTTCTGCTTGAGCGAGGCGAAGTTCAGCAGAGATCCTGTATATCTGTTCCATAGCGACGGAGGCTGCAGATGTAGTCGACAAGGCGGGCGCGCTGTTGCGTCTTGGCGCAATGGCAGTTGTGGTGATAGAAGTCGCAATGTTGATATCGTCATAGGCGAAAGTGCCTGGTAATTGCGGAGTGATCTCTTGGCGACCTTTTTGCGCGTTCACATGGTCGATGTCGTGATGTTGGCCAGTCGCGACCGGTGAGGCAACAGCCTTCACCTGCGGTCGTACCGCGCGAGACAACTTAGAACCCATGATGATTGAGATGGCTTTTGCAACATAGAATACATGGAACGCTCTGGAAGATACGGCTTAAATGGAAAGCAAACTTTAATGCGATACGGCGAAGGTTGACTCAGAAAGGCTGTTGACTCAAAGAAAGGCGTTGTGCTGCCTGCAGGCAGCCTTGCGGCGTTGACAGCCATTGGCTTGACCAAGACATCAACAAGACACCCCACATTTTCCATACAAATCTCAGCTGCGACAAGGCTGTGATGCCTGGAGCTGTGACTCGCGCGCCTTTCACGCATGTTGGTTGGATAATTGGCGTTCGTATGGTAGGATCTGGGGGTAAGAGAACGAGGCTGAGCACGTCATCCAAAACCAAGCCTCAGCCCTTGAACCACGCTAAGCGACGCAGATACGTACAATACCATAACAGCCACAAAGACGATCTTCTTTCGCCCTTTTTCGTGTGGACAGTGGTGCATGTGGGTGATGACGCTAGGTATCCTATGCGCGATCGACTTCTGCACTCACCCCGCGCTGCTACCTGGCGCTATACTGAGTTTAGCATATCGTGAGACTGTTCTACTCTGACGTCTCTACTCAGCCTCTATAAGAACCACAATTTCCACCTAAATCCAGAATTCCGTATGGTAGAACTTGCACCACATCCTTCGCGGTTCGACAATCGCAATTTTGTTGAACGTCTTGCGGCCCATATATTTGGAGATATAGGAAGCAGCTGTGATTACATCATGTCACCCGAAGAAGTCCTGAGCGGCACTTCCTAGGCTCAGAATCCTGCGATGTTTTGGAACGCGACCGATCGTTGGGAGTGCGTATTCCGTGACTCGGCAAATCTTGACCCTACCCTACATCGGCGGAAGAAAACGTACCTCTGGAGACCATTTCGATCTATACGGATGATGTTGCAATTGCGTCTGGATCGTGTCGAACTTCGACATTCAGGGTAGGTGAAATTGACCGTCTCTTGTTGATCAACATCAACAGCACCGGAGAAGCCGTATGCTCTCCTTCCTCTTTGCTTGAGTCTATCCTCTATCTTACCGCGCCCATTCCTACAACACCAACCGCCCAATGCGGACCAGGATGTGGTAATGTCAAAGTTCTTGAACAATCAGCTGGTCCACCTGCTCCCGGCTCAACGATATCGAATTTTGGATTCTTTTACTATGACTGTAACACAACGGTATCAGCACCAAGATATCTCGGCTACAAATGTCGCTGTCGCTGCTCAAGCGATTGCACTTTCTGGGGAGCGCCATCCCGAAATATTCACATTGGGACCGGAGACAAGTGAATGGGGGTCTTGCACTGATGGTATGACATTCGGAGAACCTCAAAACAACAGTGTAGTAGGGATGGCAAGCCTGCTTTCACGATTCGCTATCGGCGTAGTTGCAGCAGCGGCAGAAACGAACCCGAAAGCGATCGTCTCTGGGCATGCGCCAACACAAGAAGTCAGGATTCAGCTGCATAGTCCAGTGCTATTCAGTCTAATCCTCGTATCCATTGGCCTGGCCCAATCGTGTTTGTTCGTTATTGCGGTAAAGTTTGGTAGCAGGCTTGAGATTCCTGTGGTCGCGATCTCTCAGCTGGGTGAAATTCGGAAACAATTTGTCGCTGAGCCTGCAACCTCTTGGGCTGATAGTCACTTGATCGGTACATGAGAGTGGATTTTCTGGGAGGCAAAAGTATCTCTGATGATGCTTTCCTATGTCGAGTAACCAATGTTCGGAGACACCGGCTGCTCCCGTGCATGAGTAGCTGTTCAGCTCAGATGTGGCGATAAAGACGCCAATCTGCTTTTGGCCTAGAATAAGAGGGGTCCAAATGGCGCACCTGGGGCTCCGGGCAAGCTTCACGTTGCGATTTTTGCGAAATACGTTGTATCCAGTACAAGAAGTGCATGGTGCCACCTTGAAAGTCAAACTCGAAAGCTAGGCCCGACTGCGGGAATGAGGATTCGGCTCGGTGTAATACGATGTGACCGTGCCGAGATGATAGAGTAATCTTGGGCAAACTTGCAAGAGTAGAGGCTCGTCAAGTCTCCTTCACCAGCTCTCGTGAGATGCGCAAGTATGCTCGTATTGGCATCTTGCCATAGAGCTCGTGAGAGTTTGGTAGACTGCTGCAGCTAGACGTAATTTGTGCCATGGAGCGGGGTACGTAGCATGAGCGACTCATGCAAGACGTCGGAGGAAGACGACTTCTAGACTGACCACAGTCAGCGGAATACCTTGAACGCGCGAGGCTATATATTAGCTTCCACGTTTATTAAGTTGAGATCGCCACGCTGAGAGACGGGTTCTTGGGTATCGCTAGATTATTCTTAGGATGCGCAGCGAACCTGGCTAGTTATGCCTCCAAGTGTCAGAGTTTGCAAGCTACTGATGTACCCTGAGGCGGACTTGAAGTCGAAGGTACATCACATCATCTTCAATCTGGTGACTAACAGAGCGGCACAGCCAAGTTTCGCGGAATGCTGGTAACATGCCGAACGTCTTACCGACGGATCGCGGTGCCGCCTTGTATCGACGCGATACTGCTCTAAGGTAGAAGAGTAGCACAACTGGGTCAGCGTCGGAGACAGGTTACTCTGACAAGATACGTGACGTGAGTGACTTTCCCATGTACTACCTGCCGTGTGGGGCAGTCGACGAGAGCACCCTGGTGCTTACTAGATCACCCGGTGGAAAAGTTCTCAAGCGCACTCGATCGGTTGCTAACTTGCTGGAAACCAAACGCCGAGGTAGGAGTCGGAACGTTATTGTGAGCTTACGAACGGATCCAATTCCGCAAACGGTATTGCCGAAGATTCGCCAATGTATAATGCGGGTGCTCCATGAAAATACTGGGTCTACCCCGAGGAGCTATACCGGCCGATTGTACAGCCCAACGGAGTATCGGACCTCACATCAGGCGCTACCATGTAGTTGCTAGACACCAAGGCTTGCGACTATGGGGCGCAGTTCGATGAAAGCTGGCATACGACATCGACCCCGCACTGCGTGTCTTGCCCTGGGCTTGGAGGTCGTGGGCCAGCCAAATAGCTCGCCTCACGCACCCCCAATTCCCTAGCTTGGCTATGTTGTGGCGTTCGGAAAGGGCTTTCGAGAGGAGCTTATATGCACGTCCAGGGTTGACGTAGGTATATGACGATGTACACGGCTGGGGCAATTGACTGCGACCGTGCACACAGGTTGAGCGCGACGGGACAGAAGCAATACTTCTGCTCTTCCCTTGTGGAGCTTCCCTGACGTGATGCGGCTGCATGTAGGCCATGGTCGCTGCATATATGCAGGACGTTTGACTGAGCAGAGAGCATGTGATGGGGCTTCCAAGGAAACATCGGGGCCAGAAGACAGAGCGGACGCCCCGGACTGAGCTCCATCGAGTCATTCAGGGCACCAAGGGCGGAGATCAGCAGGTTCTGCACATGCTCCCCGCAAAAAAAGAGCCAGCCGCTTGCGCCTGGGGTTGTGACGGCGCATGGTGCTAGGGGACGGGTAGCTGGGGAAGCTATGCCCTGCCCTTGTCACTTGCTGCTCATCGCAGTGAATAAAGGCTGCCATGGTGCCCGTGAAATTTGGCCTGTGTCTGCGAGCGCTCTCAACTCCTACTTACATGTTAGCACAGTAAATTTCATTATTACTGTGTACTTGTACATCTCAACTCGCGTTTCCCAGCCAGCCAGACATCATGCTGTGGCTTGCACAAGCATTATTGGCGGGCCTTGCCCATGCCCAGGTACGTTTATTTGTTTTGTAGCTACGCCTCACAACAGCATTGTCGCTGCGGGATATTCATGTCAAAGCTGCTGAAATGCTGCCTGATTTTGCGCATCTTTTTGTTGCTCTTTTCCCATTCTTCCGTCCAGTACAATTCAACCTTGCAGTCGTGTTTACGAGCTTCCGCTAACAATAAACAAGTATTCCAACAACACCACACCGGGCGCAAATGACAGCAGCAGCAGTCCTTTGGACTTTGCTGACAGCCCGCCTTTCTACCCATCTCCGTACGTGCAAACCCGACGTTTTGCGCAATGCGACCCGCTAGAAGTGCGCTTGACAAGTGTGGGGAAGAGCGAAGGAGTGCAGGCTCCACTAAACTTCACACTCGGCAGTCGCATTGCGCAAGACTTTATTCCGACATTCGAAGACACCTTTACTGACTCCACAACAGCTGGGTGGAGGACACTACCGGCGACTGGGCCGATGCCATTACCAAGGCAAAGGCATTCGTCAGCCAGCTGACTCTTCTCGAGAAGGTCAATCTCACCACCGGAACAGGATGGCAGAGTGAGGCCTGCGTCGGCAACGTCGGCGCCATTCCCCGTCTCGGCTTCGATTCTTTATGTATGCAAGACAGCCCTCTGGGTATCCGTTTCGCAGACTACGTCTCCGCTTTCCCAGCAGGAGGCACTATCGCTGGATCATGGGACCGTGGCGAGTTCTACCAACGTGGTTATCAGATGGGTCAGGAGCATCGCGCAAAGGGTGTCGATGTGCAACTTGGTCCCGTTGTCGGTCCTCTTGGTCGCAACCCGAAGGGCGGTGTAAGTTGATCAACTTCATCACCATGATATCTACTGACTTCTACTCAGCGTAACTGGGAAGGTTTCTCCCCCGACCCCGTCCTGTCTGGCATTGCTGTCGCCGATACCGTCCGCGGTATTCAGGATGCCGGTGTGATTGCTTGCACCAAGCACTACATCATGAACGAACAGGAGCACTTCCGCCAGCCCGGACAGTTCGAGGACTTTGGTTTCGTCGATGCGCTCAGCTCCAACTTGGACGACAAGACTCTGCACGAGCTCTACTTGTGGCCCTTTGCTGACGCCATCCGTGCTGGAACTGGCTCGATCATGTGCTCTTACAACAAGGTCAACAACTCGCAGGTTTGCCAGAACTCGTACCTGCAGAACTACATCCTGAAGGGCGAGCTTGGCTTCCAGGGATTCATCATGTCTGATTGGGATGCCCAGCATTCCGGTGTCGCTTCCACTC